TCCAACAAAGCCACATCTCCTGACCCTTCCCAACAGTTGACCAACTGGGAACCAAGCATTCAAATATATGAACCTATGGGGCCAATTTTATTCAAACCACCACAGAGACATTAAGATTCTCTTCTCAGATAGGTCTAGGTCTGTGAAATTGACAAACCAACTGGGACAAATTGTGATCTACCATACCTGAATCATCTTTTAAGATGAAGCTCTAAATTTACATTGGGCCTCTTGATCTATTTTTTTTTTTTGGTGGTCCCCCCCCCCCGCCCCCCCCCAGCTGAGGACTTGAGGACTGAACCCAGGGCCTTGCGCTTGCTAGGCAAGCGCTCTACCACTGAGCTAAATCCCCAACCCCAGGCCTCTTGATCTATAATGCTACTACTTTGTATGGCAAATCGGAAAACAGATCTGTTATGAAACATTACTATGAGCCAAGTGTTTTTAAACATTAAAAACATCCTGCAAAGTTGTCTTAGTTACTTAAATGTTGTAAAGAGATGCATGACCAGGACAACTTAAAGAACGCATTTAACTGGGGGCTTGCTTAAGGTTTCAGAAGGGGAGTCTGCGACCATTGTGGCATGGCAGAGGTAGGCCCGGTGTTGGGCCAGTTGCTGAGAGTTTACATGTTAAGACAATGGCCATGAGGTAGAGTGGAGAGACTTAACCAAGAGAAGAAAGGAAAGCCCAGCCCTAGTGACACGCCTCCAACAAGACCACACCTAATCCTTCCCATACTTCCACCAGCTGCCGCCCAAACATTCAAATGTAAGCCTATGAGCACCATTCTCACTCAAATCACCACAAAAGTTAATTTAAAACAAACACGGGGTTGGAGAAATGACTCAGTGGTTAAGAGCACTGGCTACTCTTTCCAGAGTTGTTCCAAGGGATCTGGCACCCTCACACAGATCAGTGCACACAAAACAATTGGCAAAAACACCAATGCACACAAAATTAAATACTTAAAGCCCAAAACCTCGTTTGCAGCTGAGTAGAAGTGTAAAGAACAGTGTAACTTGGATAAAACCTGCTTTTCTGATTTGTGTTTTTTTTTTCTTTGAAAAAGGGTTTCTCTGTAGCCCTGGTAGTCTTAGAACTCTCAGTAGACCAGGCAGGCTGGCCTCAAATTCAGAGACCTACCTGGCTCTGCCTCCCTGGTGCTAGGATTAAACCCTGCCCAGCAGTGTTCATTCTCTTTTGGAATGATTTATGTATAACTAGGAACCCCAGGGTCCCTCCTGCCTCCACCTCCCAGCACTGGGAACACAGCTGTGCCCCACCAATACTTACTTTGTGGATACTAGGGCTCTAAACTCTGGTCCTCATCTTGTGTGACAAGCACTCGATCAGCTGAGCAGAACCCCAGTTTTGTTTTTTAATGCTGATCTTAAAAATGTATTATACAGCTTCCATGGTGGTACACACCTGTAACCCGAGCACTTGGGAGGTGGAGGTAGGCGGATCACAATTAATTCAAGACCACCTGAGGTATGTGAGGTCCTGAGTTAAAAAAAAAAGTCACCACAGTTGGACAGCCTCAAGTGTAGCCAGATCTTAATGCCTGCCCTGCAGTGCAGAGCCAAAGCTCTCCAGGGACACCCTGGGAAAGAGTGCTCAATGTTGCAGATCGGTGTTCTGGTGCCTGCCAATAGTTTTTTTAATGGTGTTCAATGAACTGGGCCTGGAAAGGAAGGAGACAGCTAAGTTGGATCAAAGGTAGGTAATTTCACAGACTCATTTATGAAAGAAAGGGACCAGAGGATACTGTTGGAGGATTTCTCTATCTAGCTGTGGAGTTTGGTTACTCATTGTCAGTATCATGTTCCCTACACCCTGAGTAAAGGCTACTTATTATTGTATGTTGAGCTTGGGGGTGGTGGTGGGGGTCTTAGACAAGCCTATTCATTCGGTGTAGAGAGTGACTAAAATGAGAGCTGTCCTTTGTCTCCGTGTCTGGAAGGGGGAAATTATTCTGTTTTAGAATGTCTATACTTACACAGCTTACCTGCACTTAACTTCAGGTGTGGGATTTTGCAGCTACAAGGAAATAGGGGGTTTATGCTTGTGTTTATGTTTCAGTCTCAAACAATGGCTCAGCAGTCTTGAGTTGTTGAGCAGGTCCCTGGTAATGTTAGAAAAGGAACTGAACAATTGTGCTGTTGTTGTTTAAGTAACAAGTACATTCTTGGTCCTGAGCTACTTTCACAAACTCCCTGTTGACTTCCCACCACTCAAGGTCCCTGCTGACTTTCCTATGGGAGATGGCAAATCCTTTATAACCATACAGCCTCTCTGCAGGTGACCTCCTAGGGCCTGTGAGCTTTAATACCAAATTACAAACTCAGCTTTAATTAGAGCAGAGCTCACCTGACCTCAGACTCACTCACAAACCTGGCTAGGAGCACAGGGTGTATTCCCCAAGTTCAATAACGAAACCATCTCCGATTGCAAGTGGGCTGAATTACTGAGAAGGCTGTTGGGGAACGGCCTGCAGGAAGAGCCTGCTGCTGTGGCTGTACACAAGCTGGGCGGAGTTCCTTCTCATGCGCTGAAACGAATACACACCAGGTGGCGCTAGTTGAAAAAACTGAGAACATTGTGGGCATTCTTTTTTAAAGACAGGAAACCCAGATTGCAGAACTATTGGAAGGTGAGGGAACCTTTTTAGGAGGCAGAACCAAGCGGGAGGAAGGTAGGTCATTGGAGGAGCTCCCTAGAAGGAGATACCGGGATTCTGAAAATCTCAAATCTATCAACTCCGTCTCTCCCTCCCTCCCATCCTCCCTCCTTCTGCTCTTCATCTTCTTCCCCTTTCTCCTTTTCCCCAGTTTCTGTGTTGAACAACCTCATGCTCTGCAGTTCTGTAACAGTCCTCTGCCTCTTCGCAGGCCCCCCAAAAGCAGTATATGGATTGAAACCTTTAGAGTCATTAGCCAAAATAAACTTTTCCTTTTTATAAACTGACTTTTCAAGGTATTTTGTCATAGAATGTTTACACATCTTTAAGAAAGAAATAATACCTACCTTCAAAACTCCTTTTTGATAAGGACAAATGACATTTCAGGCCAATATAACATTTTGATAATAAATAATTTTTATTTTAATCAGCATATAATTGCATTATTTCCCACCTTCCTTTCCTCCCTCCAAACACACACACACACACACACACACACACACACACACACACACACACAAACACACGACAGGGTCTCAACCAGGTTGGTGGTGGCACATGCCTTTATTCCCAGCACTCAGGAGGCAGAGGCAGGTGGATCTCTGAGTTCGAGGCCAGCCTGGTCTACAGAATAATTTCCAGGACAGCCAGGGCTGTTACACACACACACACACACACACACACACACACAAAAACCCTGTCTTGAAAATTGTCCCCCAAAAGAGAGAGAGAGGGAGAGAGAAATTAAGAAAACACTTTACTTTTAACATCCACATGTCAGATAAACTCACTGAATGGTCACCCTAATATTTTAGGACAAAAACGAGCTAATGTGTTGCTTCACCCATAGTTTAGTAAATAATTATTTCAGCCCAAATGTAAACTTTTTTCTTTTCTTTTTTTTGAGACAGGATTTCTCAGTGTAGCTTTGGAGCCCGGCCCGAATGTAAACTTTAAAAATGATTTTGTTTCCTATTTATTTATTTATTTATTTTGGTTTTTCGAGACAGGGTTTCTCTGTGTAGCTTTGGAGCCTGTCCTAGAACTCGCTCTGTAGCCCAGGCTGGCCTCGAACTCACAGAGATCCACCTGCCTCTGCCTCCCGAGTGCTGGGATTAAAGGCTGCGCCGCCACCGCCTGGCTCCTTTTTATTTTTATTTTGTTTATATATGAGTGTTTTGCCTACATGCATATGTCTTGAATTCCCTGGAGCTGGAATTAAAGTTGTCAGCGGCCATGTGGGTATTTGGAATAGAATCTGGGTCCCTTAGAAGAATAGACCATGCTCTTAAACTGCTGAACGAACTCTCCAGCATCCCCCCTCCCCCTAGTCTGGGCCCAACAGAATCTCACTCTGTAGCCAGGCTGGCCTCAAACTTGAGGCAAACTGAGGGAATTCTGTCTGCCCAACATAAACTACCACGCTCAGTTTACAATCTGTTTCCATTTGTTTGGCCAGGATAATTTAGGAAAGAACTAAGACAGAGACAGTTATGGCTGATGCCTATAACCCCTGAATTAGAGAAGCAGAGCCAGGTTGATCATAGTAAACTCAGGCCTTAACCTGACCTATTTATTTATTTATTTACTTATTTAATTTATTTGAATGTTACGTGTGTGTTTTTGCCTGCATATTTGTATGTGTACTGTGTGCATTCCTGGTGCCCTCAGAAGCTGGAAGAGGGTGTTGGGCCCCCTGGAACTGGAGTTACAGAGGATTGTCTGCTGCCATATGGGTACCGAGAACTGAACTCAAGTCCTCTGCAAGAATAGCCAGTGCTCTTAACTGCTGAGCTATCTCTCCAGCCTCTCTTTAAAAAATAAAAAAAATATTACACTTATTTCTTTATAAGGGAGGCATGTATGCCTCGTTCAGTCTGCAACCACAGTGGTGTACTTCAAATTATTTTTTAAAAGATTTTTATTTTTATGTTTAATTATGTGTATATGTGTCTGTCTGGGGGTGTACATACTGAGTGAGGGTACCCACAGAGACCAGAAGAGGATGTCAGATCCCATGGGAGTTACAGGCTTGGTTGTTATATGACACCTGTGGAGGCCAAAGGACAACTTGCTAGAGCTGGTTCTCTCTTTCTAATAAGCATGTCCCAGGGATTGAACTCAGTTCACGTGGCTTACAGCAAGCACCTTTACCTTCTGAGTCATTTTTCTGGCTCCTTCCTTTCCTTTATTATTATTATTTTTTGACGTTATTTTTAGTTAAAGAAAAAAAAAAAAACAGACTTTCCAAGGGTGACAAAGTGAACTGAAGGTCAGAAGGAAGCTGTGTGTGGGCTTATCATAAGCTCTTCCTCCAAAGCCTGGAAATGAGAACTGACTGGATCACCAGAGAGACTCTTTGTTGGGGTGGGCAGAGCTACCATTGGCATGGTCTATATGGGCTCTTGGGCAACCACCCTGTGCCCACTGACATGATTAACACTATTATTCTGGGGGATGTTAAATTAAGGAATGACACGGGAAGCCGAGACAGTGGCTTATTTGGTTATTCAGTTGGATTCTGAATCACAATCAGGAAATAGTCTTTATCTGGTGCAACCATAATTTCATTTTTCTTGGATCGAATTCGAAGGAAGGTTAGATCATTCTGGGGGTCCATTTCACGCACAGTGCTCCGTGCCTTCAAGATGAAGTTGTGCATGAGGTTGGCATATTGTGTAGTAGTGGGATTGTCCATGGTGCTCTTGATGGGAATGCCTTCCGTGTTCACCACGATGATTCCCTGAACTCCTTTCTGGCTCTGAAGTCTCTTGAGTGTTTCCTCCACCTCTGCCATCTCGGACCGATCCAGCAGCTCCGAGTCCACGACGCCCAGCCAGCTCCCCGCCTTTCTCCTTTCCTCTATTTTTTAAAGATACATTATTTTATTATTTTGAATTGTGAGTATGTATATGTCTGTGAAACTGAGTACAGGTACCTGTTGAGAACTAGAAGTATCAGATCCCCTGGAGCTGGAGTTATAAGCAGTGGTGAGCTGGTAGACATGGATACTGGGGACTGAACTTGTATCTTCTGTAAGAGCAGTAGGTGCTTTTAACCACGGAGCCATCTCTCCAGCCCCCTCATTTTTTCTTGAGATAGAGTCTCACTGTAGCGCCCACTGCCTTGGTGCTTCACAGTGTCACAGTGATGGCCGCCAGCCTCCAGAGTTTTGTGCTTACAGATGTTGCCAACATGTCTAGCTCTTTTACCTTTTTCTGCAGTTAAATTGTCAAGAATAGAAAGAAAGCACATTGATGTCCTCTGCATGCTGCTACCCCAGAAGATTGCCACTGAGACGTGACCAGACACATGCAATTGCGGATATGCCGGAAACTACGACCACAGTTCTAAACTTGAAGGACAGCTTCATACCTGTCAGTCTATTTCTTAAAAATTAATTTTATTTATTAATTGGTGTGTGTGTGTGTGTGTGTGTGTGTGTGTGTGTGTGTGTGTGTGTGTGTTCTTGTCAGTTCCTCCTTCCTCCATGTGGATCCTAGGGATTGAACTCAATTTGTCAACCAAGCCTGTAACTCCCATGGGATCTGACATCCTCTTCTGTTCTCTGTGGGCACCCTCATTCAATGTGTACATCTTCAGACAGATACGTATACACATAATTAGACACAAAAATAAAAATCTTAAAAAAAATAATTTGAAGTACCCCACTGTGATTGCAGATAGAACCAGGAAAGCTGAACTGGATATAGTCTCGTCTATATTAGGCTTTCCAGACCACTGTGATTCTTTTCTCATTATTATTTTTTAAGACAGGGTCTCATGTAGCCCAGGACTTGAATTTACTATATGTAGTTAGAAATAATCTTGAACTTATGATTCTCTTGTTTCTGCCTCTCAAATGTTGGGATTACAGGCATGCACTGTCAAAGCTGGCAAATACCTTGTCACCTTTTAAAAAATGATTATTTTTAAACATTTATTTTATGTGTTTGTGTGTGTTTACACACATGTGTGTGGAGGTCAAAAAAACTGCCCAGGAGTCAGGTTTTTTTTTTTTTTGTTGTTGTTGTTGTTTTTTTGTTTTTTGAGACAGGGTTTCTCCATGTTGCTCCTGTCTTGGTCATCAAATCCAGAGGCGTGGGGCCTGCTCTGGAGGGAGAGAAAAGACTGTACCCTGAAGTTGTAGGCCTTGGCTAATTTGAATCCTCTGGAACTGGAGTATATGTGTAGGAGTGGATCCTGGGGAAAGGGAATTGAATTTAAGATGGAAAAAGGAGTTTACTTAGAACAGTCATGATGCAGTGTCATGCCCTGGCTAGGCGTCCAGGAGATGGCGCTAATACACTGTAAGGTTGTGTCTTACAAGTATTGATCATATGACTGAGGAAACGGTGAAAGCTCTGCAGTAGCAAATCGTGAAAGAAGTGGAATGCCCAGAGAACATCTATGCCAAAATGCATATATATGAGGGCTGTGCTTGGTACACAGTTACTGGGCAGATTGAAGCAGGAGGACCATGAGTTGAAGACCAACCTAGGTAATTTAGTAAGACCTTGCTTCAAAATAAAAGCATTTAAAGAAGAAAAGAAAGGAAAGGGAGATAGGAAGGTAGAATGGTAGAGTGCTTGGTTAGCATGTGAGAGGCCCCTGGATTTGATCTCAAGTGCCTTACATTATATAGGCTATAAAACCCACCATCATGTCAAATGGGAGACTCAGAGGATGTTCCATTCTCTCTCTCTCTCTCTCTCTCTCTCTCTCTCTCTCTCTCTCTCTCTCTCTCTCTCTCTCTCAGACACACACACACACACACACACACACACACGTATAGCCTGGTGAAAAGGGGCAAGAGTTGAGTGAGTGTAGTGAGTGGTGGGATATAGTATCACGTGCTGGGTATGTGGCTCCTGGAATACCAGAGGCCTGTCAAGAGCACCATTGAGCATGATGGGGGCAGCATTAGATGAATAGCCAGAAACAGTTGACCATGGACATAGAAGTCAGGATGGGATTGGGCAGGAGGTATAGATCCAGCATCAGTCCACAGCAACTCAGTGAGGCCAAGTCTTCCCACCTGAGGTTTCTAGACAGGGTCTCATTCTGTAGCCTAAGCTGCCCTAGAATTCATCCTTTAGGCCAAATTGGCCTTAAATTATAGAGCTCCTCTTTTCTCATCTTTAGTGCTGGGATTATAGATATCTGCCACCACACCATTGATTTCTACTCTTAGATATATGTACCTCCCCATCTTTTCCTATAGGTCAAACTAAATCCATGCCAGCCAAACTCCGGGCCTCTTTCTCATGCCATTATTCAGCCAATGTTATCAACCATATTTCAAAAACTGTGATGCTGTTGTTTAATCCATCCCTATATGCAGACATTTCTTTATTGCCAGTGCAATTAACCTGAAGTATGATCATCGCTTATGTAGAATGCTAAGCATTTCCCTTGCTTGTCTCTCTGCTTCACCCTTGACTTATAATTTTTATTCCACACTGCAGCCAAAGGGTCTTATACAAGAACTAAGACTCATATTAAAACATGAGATCATCTAATAACACAGTTTAATGTCCTCTCTTCATTTCCCATCACATTTTGAATAAAAACTTAAGCCTCTTCCATCACCCTCAAGACCCTGAATAACCTTGGCTTCCCTCTCTGTTCTATTTCTTCATTATTATTTATTAAAGCTTGACACACAGGTTCTCTCTCTCTCTCTCTCTCTCTCTCTCTCTCTCTCTCTCTCTCTCTCTCTCTCTCTCTCACACACACACACACACACACACACACACACACACACACACACACACACTCACACTCAAGCTTGACTCAATCTACTCCTCTAAATGTTCTTACTGAGATACTCATGAAGCTTGTTCTATTTAGAAGAAGGATTGAAAAAAAGAATTAAATATTTTTCTTCCTTTTGGTTTGATCAACTTGGATGGTGGTTCTGTTTATGGGGTGTGGGTATTGGGGGAAGGAAGAACTTGAGAATTCTATCACTAGCTGACATTTGTAAGGGTGCTTGGTGCTGTTAGCCTATTGCTGCATAAGAACTTATCCCTAGATTTAGTATTTAGGGGCTTAATGTAACTTTTTTTAAAAGACATGGTTTCACTCTGTAGCTGGGTCTGGCCTGGAAGTCACAAAGATCCACCTGCCTCTGCCTCCTGAGTGCTGGGATCAAAAGCATACACCACCATGGCCGACTTAACACAGCTTTTATTAGTTCAGTTTCTGTGGATCAGTGGTCTTATTGTAGCTTGGCTAGGTTTTTAGAGGCAGTTAAAACTCCAGCAGGAAGGTTCAGCTGCCTACTCACTGCAACTGTTAAGTGGGGAGGTTCCTTGCAAATTGTTCTACTGAAGTTTCATTTTCTCATAGCCTGATAGCTAAAGTCTTGGCCCAGTTTCTTACCACGCAAGACTCTCCTAAGAGCAGTTCACAACACTGGAGGACAATAAGATTATTAGCAATAGAAGGAGGGAGAAAAGGAAAATGGAAAAAAGGGATGGGTGGGAAGAAGAGGGATTAGGAAGTGGTATCCGTTTGTAAGCTGATGACCTAGGAAAACCATTGGTAGAGTTTCCTTCTAGCTAAAGAAAGGCCCAAGGACCAGGAAGCACATGTCAGTGGGCAAAATCAGTGAAAGTAACTATCTTAGCTCCAGCAGACTAAAGTTATTCTTTGTTCTGACTGTGTTCTTAGTGGCTTGGGTGATGCCCACTACATTGGTGAATAAATGTTCCTTCACTCAGTCCATACATTCAAATGTTCATCTTTTCTGGAAACCTCTTTACAGACATAAACAGATGTACTATTTTTACCAGTTTTTATTGATATAAAAAATTCACCATCCACCATCACTTTTGTTATATTCCATGTTTCAAAAGGAAGTTATTATGTTTCAGTTCACACTCAAGGGAAGGTATTACACAGATCTGAATCAAGAATCAGAGACCATGGGGAACTATGTCAGAAGCTGCCTACCACAGGAAGGTGGTCCATTCAAAACACTTCACATGTCTTAATTCACTTCATCTTTTTCCTTCTTTTTGATGTAAAGATTTATTTCTACTATTTTAAAATTATGTGTATGTGTGTGCGTCTATTTATGTATGGGTGCACATGAGTTCAGTGCCTGTGGAGGTCAAACGTATTGAATTCTCTGGAGCTAGAGTTACAGGTGGTTGTGATCCACCCACTATGGGTGCTGGGAGCCAAACTCTGGTCTTCTGGAAGAGCAGTTAAGTGCTCTTAACTGCCAAACCATCTCTCCAGTCCCAAATCACAGGAATTTGACTATGGCTTGGCTATCTTGTCTTAAACTGTACTAATATTGTTTCCATCATAATATCAATAGCTAAAGTAACTTGTCTGAGGTTCAGCAGCTTTCAGCCTAGACTGCCCTACTTCAGCATTTCTATCTCCTTTTCGGTGCTAGAGGTTAAAAGCAGAACCTTGAATGCACTAGGCAAATACTGAGCTGCATCCCAATAATGTTATTTCTTCTTTTTTTTTTTTTTTTTTTTGGTTTTTCCAGACAGGGTTTCTCTGTGTAGCTTTGCGCCTTTCCTGGATCTCGCTCTGTAGACCAGGCTGGCCTCGAACTCACAAAGATCCACCTGGCTCTGCCTCCCGAGTGCTGGGATTAAAGGCATGCACCACCACCACCACCACCACCACCACCACCCAGCTAATTATTTCTTTTAGATGGGGTCTTTCTTGCTCTGGAGTCCAGGATAGCCTTGAACTTGGCATCCTCCTGTTTCAGTCTCCTGAGTGCTGGGGTGGTATCTGGCTCAGCATCTGTATTCTCAGGGAGTTGGCTGGAATGTGAAGTAGAAGTTGGATGGCTTGGGAAAGCAGTGGGTTGG